ATTCCTCAAGGACCTAGAAATAGAAATTCCATTTGACCCAGCAATCCCATTACTGAGTATATATCCAAAGGATTATAAATCATTTTAGTATAAGGATACATGCACACGAATGTTCATTGCAGCACTGTTTACAATAGCAAAGACCTGGAACCAACCCAAATGCCCATCGATGATAGACTGGACAGGGAAACTGTGGCACATATACACCATGGAATACTATGCAGCCATAAAAAATGACGAGTTCATGTCCTTTGTAGGGACATGGATGAATCTGGAAACCATCATTCTCAGCAAACTGACACAAGAACAGAAAATCAAACAACACATGTCCTCACTCATAGGTGGGTGTTGAACAATGAGAACACATGAACACAGGGAGGGGAGCATCACACACTGGGGTCTGTTGGGGGAAATTGGGGAGGGACAGTAGGGGTTGGGGAGTTGGGGAGAGATAGCATGGGGAGAAATGCTAGATATATGTGATGGGGAGGAAGGCAGCAAATCACACTGCCACGTGTGTACCTATGCAACAATCTTGCATGTTCTTCACATGTACCCCAAAACCTAAAATATAATTAAAAAAATGTTCATGGCCTTATGATTCAATTAATCCACTTTTATGCTCAAGGGACCTGAGCGGACACTTCTCACAAGAGGACATACAAGTGGCCAAAAAGACATGAAAAAATGCTCATTACTAATCATCAGAGAAGTGTAAATGAAAACCACAAGGAGATACCATCTCACACCAGGATGGCTATTTCTTTTTTTTTTGAGATGGAGTCTTGCTATCTACCCAGGCTGGAATGCAGTGGTATGATCTCGGCTCACTGCAACCTCCGCCTCCCGGGTTCAAGCAATTCTCCTGTCTCAGCCTCCCGAGTGGCTGGAATTACAGGCACCTGCCACTGCACCCGGCTAATTTTTGTATTTTTAGTAGAGACATGGTTTCACCGTGTTGTCCTGGCTGATCTCGAACTCCTGACCTCATGATCCACCCGCCTGGGCCTCCTAAAGTGCTGAGATTAAAGGCATGAGCCACTGTGCCTGGCATGGAATGACTATTATTAAAACATCAAAAAATAACAGATGTTGGTGAGGCTGCAGAGAAGAGGGAATGCTTACGTACACTGTTGGTGGGAATGTCAATTGGCTCATCCACTGTGGGGAGATGTTTGGAGGCTTATAGAAGAACTGAAAACAGAACTACAGTTTTTAGTTAGAATTACCTGCAATCCCATTACTGGGTATCTACCCAAAGGAAAGGACATCATTCTACCAAAGACACATGCACTGGCATGTACATTGCAGCGCTATTCACAATAGCAAAGACATGCAATCAGCCTAGGTGCCCATACAAGGTGAACTGGATGAAGAAAATGTACAGATACACTAGCCATGAAGAACAACAATGTCAGGTCTTTTGTAGCAGCACGGATGCAGCTGGAGGCCATTATCCTAAGAGAATTAACGCAGAATCAGAAAAACAAATACTGTGTTCTCACTTGAGTGGAAGCTAAACATTGGGTATTCATGGACATAAAGATGGAAATTACAGACACTGGGAATGCCAGAAGGAGGGAGGGAGAAAGGAAGGCAAGAAAAACTACCTATTGGGTATTATGCTCACTACCTGGGTGACAGTTTCAAGTATACCCCAAACCAAACCTGTCCGTATACCCCTGAATCAAATAAAAATAGAAATTAAAAAGAATTCATTGTTAGAACTCTAGGATATGGTTTGGCTGTGTCCCCACCCAAATCTCATCCTGAATTGTAACTCCCAAAAGCCTCACTTGTTGTGGGAAGAACTTGGTGGGAGGTAGCTGAATCACGAAGGCAGGTTTTTCCCATGCTGTTCTAATGATGAGTAAGTCTCAGGAGATCTGATGGTTTTATAAAGGTCAGTTCCCCTGCACACGCTCTCTTGCCTGGT